TGTACTAATCGGTAGCAATATGTTGGGCACAAAAAAACTGCCAATACTTGTCATAGGCAAGTCGAAAGCTCCGAGGTGCTTCAAAGGTGTAAAGTCCCCGCTTTTTTTTTTTTTTTTTTTTTTTTGTTCGAGGCCAACACAAAAGCCTGGGTAACTCAGCACATTTTAGAAAGCTACGTGAGAAGACATAAATTGAAAATTTGGTATAGAAGGCCGCACCATTTTGCTGTTTGAGGACAACTGCGCTGCACATGGGCACATAAACAACTTGAAGGCTGTGCACGTCGAGTTTTTGCCACTGTGCACTACAAGTGTCCTACAACCGATGGACCAGGGTTCATATGCACTCTCAAAGGGAACTATCAGTCACGTTTGCTTTCCCGTGCGGTGGTGTGCATCAATAGCGGAAAAGCATATTTGGCTCATTTGCTTGGAGCACTTTGCAATGTTCACTGTTGCGTGGAAGTCGATGGCATCGAGAACGCTGAGCAACTGGTTGCCACGCAGGATTTCTGTTGAATGTCGAGTCAGCCGCATGGGATGAGGACAGTGTCGTCGACCAGGTGCCTGGAAGCGAGGTGCTCATTGACTACCTTTGCGCTGTAATCATCGAGATCCCCCCAATATCTCGTTTTCAGAGTTTGCGTGTGTTGTCAGCAAGTTGGAACTGTGCACTGGCCTCGCGGATGAGGAAATCGTTCGTCAAGTGCTTGCGTAGTCTGAGAGCGGTGATGACGATGGGGACTTACCTGCAACAGCTCAGCCGACCCAAGCTGAGCTGATGGAAGTGATTGCAACCCTTTCGTCAGCTTACAGGGGCACCACAACTCTAGCCGAAATGCGGGTAGACGTGCTCGTACAGAAATGAAGCATGGTCCAGAAGACGACTAATCACTTTTTCCGCCCTCTATCTCAATAGTAAGCTCTAAATTGAGCATTTCGGGGGCACATTTGCTTTTTGGACTGCCCGATTTTTCAGACATATTTGTGGTGTCTGAGGGTCCGAAAAATTTGTCATCAACTGTACAATGTCGCACCCTTAAGGTGGTGCTACTCCACATATTTGCTTGAGCTTACAGCTGAACATACTTATTGTGGTTAGGCCTTTTGTTGGCGATAAATCACACCAGTGCATTTATCGCTGGTTTCCATTTCGCCTTCGCTCTTTTCCTATGATTATCTGCAAAGGAACTGCTGCAATCATGTGAAAGTTCGTTTTGCATGCCTAAAACCTACATAGGAGTGGTTGAAAGAAAGGAAGACCTTTAGCTCCATGTCGTCCAGGAAATGATACTGTCATCTGAAAATGGAAAAATTTCCAGACTTCAATGACAATCTTGCAAGCGTTCTAAAGCAGCTCTGTGTGTACCGAGTTTGTCAAGTCAACGACTGATGACTTAGCACGCAATTGAGGCATATCCAGACATCGCAAAGCTACGAAAACTAGATCATTGAATGAAAGGAACTTCCAGTGGAATAAATTTCACTTACCATGAAAGTGTATAGGGCGTGTTTTTTTTTTTTTCAATTAAATGCAGTATAAGCAGAGGCGGTGCTTCGCATTTTTACACTGCCCTTGTAGTCTGAGCGCACCTATTTAGCTACTATTTCGTAGAATAGCATCAGGGTGTGAGGATAGTTGTTTAATTTTCCGATTGGTCAAATGAAAATGGCATTTACACTCAACATTTAGAAGTGGTATGATTAGATCTTTAGCACATGGAACCATTCTGTTTATTTTTCGAAAGTTTGAATACCTTATATAATAAAATTTAGTGTGAATCTGATAGGATAACAAACTCTATTAGAAAAATATGTGAAAGTTCGAATGTTCACACGCACTTACTGCTTGCTGCTAATAAAGTAGTTGACAGATTCTGATTAACTGTGTAGATGTTTGCACGAGTCATGGATATTCGAAAGAAAAAAGGAAATGGAAGGAAGGCAATCAAGCATGACTGAACATTTGCTTGGTATCCAAAATGTGTATACCATCCCACTAAGCTAAGGTAATCTTGAATATAGAGGGATCGCACTTCATGATGTGACGGATGGTTTAACAAGACTTGAAGTTCAGGGACATGGTGCATAGAGTTGACTGGAATTTTGAGTGCAAAAACACGCATTCCCAAAATGAGGACAAAACGGGCTCCCGTCCTGTCCTTTCGTATTGTCAATGTGTTATTTTCACACTCGAAATTCCTCGTTGATGCACTTACCGTAAAGGCGCAAAATAGGAACTTCTTTACGGTGGGGATCTTCGATATTCAGACCTCTGGCAGCCAGAGCTAGCCAGAGGGTCAGCCAGCTAGCTCCGGTCGGGACAATAAACATCGTCGTAGTTGCGTGTGTGGAGAAACTGAGACAACCCGAAGCTGCCCGAAGAATGGAAAATCCGAGTGCTGGGATAGCCAACGTAAATGTAAAAAAACGCCACTGTGGTGGCAGCAAACGAAACATTGTGCCACATGCATTTTTTTTTTCTTCTGCATTGTCTGCTTGGAAATTTGCGGCTAGGTTCGCTGAAGGGCTGAAATAATAGCCTCGAGCACACATTTGAGTTGTGACCTCATATGCCCACAAGCAGAACTCGTCCCATCTGCGATCAAAACAGCCAGCGGGCACGAGAACGCCTTAAGAACGATGCAAGGTGAGCTATCGCACCGCTAACTCATCGGTAAAACAAGTTCATGTCTACTTACTTCACTGCACAACACGACACAGTATATCACAAAAGCGATTGTGTCCCAAAAATAACTCGAGAATATACCTGCTCAGCAGTCGCATAGTATATGTCGCAAACATGCGTTGACCAACTTGCGTTTTAGTCTCAACTTTAGACATGTGGTGGTATCGGTACAATGAGTGCGCGTCGTGTCTAAAATTAACTTCCGCATGATGTGTTTTCTACTCGTTTTGGTGGTTGTCTGCACCTCTTTTCTAGTCCTAAGTGATACTCCCAAAATCTATGTAGCTCCACTTCTATTTGAGCTACTATAGGTCATAACCGTACATACTGCACGGCGTTATTACTAACAGGTGAAAAAAAAAAAGACAAAGCTGATGATGAAATAGGCAACGAAAGAATGTATAGCTTTCTGATTTCATCTCCATTTTTTTTTCGCGCATCGTCTTGTAGCGTAACATAATACCCCACCACGTCTGCTGGCCTGCAGATTGGAGTACGCTCGCAAGCCATTCGCGACCAGCGAGCATGACACACTTGAAAACAACTGTCGCTATCGATCAGGGCATTCTATCACCATCGAAGACGGATTAGTCAAGTTTTACTCACACAGTAGTAGTAGTAGTAGTACAAAACTTTATTATATACATAATCCAGACAGGCTTGAACTCCATTGCCCCGAAGAATATACGGGGTGGAGAGCGAAGTCTGTCCGGCCGGGTGGTGCCCCTATTCCAGGGCCCCACTGGCGCGAGCCATCCGTTCAGCTCTTTGGATCAGTCGCAGCTGATCCACTAGGGCTGGGCTAGACAGCAGCGCCTCCCATTCCTCCCACGTGCCAGTGGTGTCGTGCTCTTCGTCGTGCTCTGCACACTCCCACGTAATGTGAAAGAGTGTTGGGGTGGCTCCACACCACGGGCACATATCTCTGTACGCCGTGGGGTAGATCAGGTGAAGAGTGTGCAGATTTATGTAAGTGTTAGTCTGTACTTTTTTTAGCGCTGTTGCCTCCGCAGCGCTGAGCTTGCTGTGAGGACGTGGATACAGCTGCCTATTTTCTCTGTAGTACTTTAAAATTGTTGCGAAGCTAGGGTCCAGGGGTGTAGGGTCATCACTTGCATTGGCTTGAGTGGCTCGGTGATTTGTGAAGCCTCGAGCTGCCTCATCCGCCCGCAGGTTTCCTGTCACACCCTCGTGCCCCGGTGCCCAAGTCACAGCCTGTACGTATTTCACTGTGGGGTCCCATCCTGTCCCAACCAATATACGGAGCGCTTGTGCTCCAATTTTGCCCTTTAGATAGTTTCTGCAAGCTTTTTGCGAATCTGAAATGATTGTTAATGGAGCGTTTCACGTCCATCCCTCTTTTATTGCGAGTGCTATGGCAACTTCTTCTGCTTGTGTTGTCGACGCCTGATCTATTGAAGCGCAGGCTGTAATTTTCCCTCTATGGTCGGTGGCTACACACACATATCTCTTTGCATTGGTCTGATAAGGCGCGGCGTCAGTGAATCTGGCCGTGTTCAAAAATCTTGTCTTTTTGTCTATGTAGTCAGCCCTTGCCTTTCTTCTTCCAGCATGCAGAGTAGGATCCATGTTGCTTGGTATTGGCAATACGGTGTACCATTTTCTGAATTCGCTTGGTACTTCTTTACTCACACAGACATACGACGTAGTGAGCTAGTTCGATCAGTTTTTGCTAAGTGCACAAAAGTAGGTACAGCACCACAAATTACTACTACGAAAAAAATAACTCTAAAGTTGTCCACATGCGAAAATGTACATAACTTTTTAATCATGTGCACAACGCAGTTAGGAGGCAACAGTTCGCCACGTTGTTCACGGAAAGAAGCTTCACTGGAAACGTAACTAAAGCAATAAACAGTAACTTCAAACGCTCGCCCTCACTTGTAATCGTCCCACCTCTCACATCGAAGCGGGCTTTGAAAGATAATGCCATGCGTAATGGCAAGCGAAGGCGCAGTCCAGAAGCGCCAACATTGCAATCCGTCGAGCCCTTGCAAAGATGGCAGCTAGCGCGTATCGTATCTTTTCGGCGTCTGCTAGCCCAAAAATTGTCCAAAGCCTTCCAGAGAGCTTCCACGACTAAGTTATCCTGGACGCTTCTAATAGGTGTGATTGAATATTGGAATTGCAACATTCTAAGAATGTTCAAAACTTAGCCTCTAACTTAGACCTCTAAAAATTTCTCTTGAATGTCTGTAACATATGCTTAAATTCTGTGAAAAACTAGCACTTATGGATTCCCTAGTGGTGTGCTCATAGATATTCTTGTTCGCATGTGTCCTACTTACAGTGTCACCAGCACTACCAGTGCAGTCGGGGTACGTGCCTCCTCCACGCAGTTCCAGCACGAAGTTGAACACGATGCAGATAAGGTACCTGTCACTTGTGTGCGTCCCCCTTTTTTTTATATGCTTGGTTTGCTAACACAGTGCTGCTACATGGAGCATCTTTCATTGACCTAACTGCTTGCTCAGTGTTGATGACACTAACACAGGCAGGGAGACACGCACGTGTTTGTGAAGATTGTGCTACTTTTGCATGAGTAACCTGAAATCAACAGTCCAGCAGTAGAGGGGGAGGGAGGGTGGAGAAGGGTCCCACATTCTTGAGAAGTTTTGTTTTGGAGTGGCTATTGTGAATTATGCCTCAAATTGTAACTAACAGCACATGGTCCTGCTGCAAAGGCACAGCTGAAAGCAGAATTCTGGAATACATGCTTCAGTACAATGCACATTGCTTCATATGAAATCAGTGTAAGAAGCAATCACTCAGTGTTACAAAACTGTGAAATAAAATCACTCTTTTCGAACTAAACTGAACAAGGAGGGGGGGGGGGGGCAAGTTGTCTTGAGTAGTCTTGAGATTTATTTTTTAGTCTTCCCCAGGTAAATTGTAAAATATTTTTATCTTATTTTCTTTTTATTTATCCCAGCCAAAATTCATACTCTGTGCAGGCAGCACTAGCTTTTCATGTCTGTGACGCAGCACACATTCATATCAAACATTCAGCATCAGTGAAAAGCAGCTTGTAACAACCACAACCTAGCACATTTTGGGCTAATGGCCCTACGCTGGGACTACAGATAAATTCATGAGATTCTACTGTGTTGTGCATGCAGAGACAAGTTATGAGAGGGAGTAACATGCATGCATAAGACCGGTTTACACTTGTTCACTGCAGCCCTGGAATTTAACTAGCGCAGGCTGGGATCCCCCTAGGCTAAATCTAATGCCAAGTTTTTTTCATTTTAGGTGCACTGAGCATATGTTATGGCCTTTGCTTCTTCAGTGTAATTGTTGCATGGAATGCGCCAAAGCCTGAAAGGTAATCCTAGACTGGTGGTGTAACGGTGTCCTCCTACATTTTTTCAACTGCAACAGGTGCAAATTTGGCCAATTGGGCCCGAGCAAGGGCCAGTTCAGCTCGCCGCACGGCTTCTGCTTGGGCCTCGAAGAAGAAATTATAGTGGCCGACACCAACAATCATCGCATCCAGGTGTTTGACAAGGCTGGAGAGTTCAAGTATACCTTTGGAATAGCTGGAAAGGAGGAAGGGCAGCTGTGGTATCCACGAAAGGTGCTCTTTTTATATGATACTTGTGACTCCATATCTTTTAGAAAAGGAGGCACTTCATTTCAGAAACTCGGGGTACAGAAGTCTTATATACACTTGTCGCAAAGACGCCTGCGAACGCCGTTTAAGGGGGGACACTACCCCAAAAACTGAACTTTTTATTTTTAAGATATTATAATGAAACTTTCAGGGTATGTTCACTACATTAAAACTAGAAAAACTGCAAAGTTTCATGTTATTTTGTTCAGGGATTCTAGAGTTACTGAGGTCTAACCGAGTCCGGAAGAAATCCCAGGATATACCAGAAGGCTGAAATTATTTGTGGTCATCCCTAGACAGATATTCTAAAGTGCTAAAGAGCCTTTTTTTTTTTTTCAATTTACCCTTCAAGAAAGTTTTATGCAACTTTTGAATTTGTTTACCCTTCAAAAAAGTTTTATGCAACTTTGAATTTGATGTAGCCAGTAGGTATGACATTTATCAAAAATTGTTTAATAATGATTAATGGCACCAATTTTTAATAAAAAAAAGAAGCTTGTTACACCCTGGCAAAATCATCCAGGAGCAGAATAAAAGAAGTGGCAGACAAATCTGATAAGCAGTTCTTGAGAAATCACTTTCTTCAGCACCACAATCAGCTAAAAAAATCTTTCAGCTTTGTTAGAATGAGGTTTTAAATACATTTAAATACATGGGTGTCTATGGGAATTTCAAGAGGAATTACAATTGCTTCGTTGTATCCATTACTTTGTTATATCCCGCTTTGTTAACGAGGTTTTACTGTATGACATTGCTGCCAAACAGTATCATTTACAAGCAACCTAGTGGACAGAATGGCGTGGAGTTAGTGCAGACGAGATAGCATATAGTACGAGGCTTAATTCTGAACAATGTCTTAATGCTGTGCATGACTTTCATATTTCGCTAGTCAACCTATTGGGGATTTCGTCCTTTCAGGTGGCTGTTATCAAGAGCAGTGGAAAGTACGTCATTTGCGATCGAGGGAACGAGCGGTCACGTATGCAGATATTCACCAAGGGTGGCCACTTTATCAAGAAGATTGCAATTCGTTACATTGACATCGTAGCAGGCCTGGCCATCACCGCAGAGAATAAGATAGTCGCTGTGGACAGTGTGTCGCCAACTGTATTTGTCATTTCAGAGGCAGGCGAGCTTTTGCTATGGTTTGACTGCAGCGAGTACATGAGAGAGCCCTCGGACATCGCCATCAGTGGCCGGGAGTACTACATCTGCGATTTCAAGGTGGGCTTTCTATTACCATTTTTGTTGGCACTGTATGGTCACTGCATGGCATATTGGAACTAAGGCAAAGCGCTCGTTCATTTTCTAATTAATTTGTGCCTGCAAATGGGTGTCTTGTTAGAATACTCTAGTTTAGCGTGGCAAAATATTTCCTGTATCAAATCGTTTGAGGTTTTTATTGACATGTCGGTGCTTAGCATTTGCTTGCACAACCAATTTTACTGTTCTTGCATAGTGTTAACATACCATATAAGCTTGTGTTAGGGTTGCACTTAGTAGATGCCAGCTCTATAAATAAGAAGGGGGGGGGGATTTCTACTAAGAACTAAATAAAAAAAAAAAAAGCTAATGCAACCAGCAAATGCGAATTGCCCAAGTCCTTGTAATTCTTATTCTTGTCCTCGAGGACTTGCATGCGGATATGGTTTTGGGAGATGATTACCTCTTGTCTCTAGAAGTTCAGCTCACAATGAATGGCAGCTGAGTAAAGCTCCGATGCTTGACTCCGAGCATTTTCGCGGCTCTGGATGCCCCAGTTGGAAGACCACAATTGCAGATGCCCAGTAAGGAGAGCAGACTCGGTGACTAGCTGGGGGAGGGGGGGGGGGGGAGATTTGCCTACTACACGGCAGTCATTTGCCAGGTGTCCGAGTGCTTCTCTCAATCAATCCATGGCTGCCGAAGACACATTAATAGACAAAATGCCTGTTTTATCGGGATCTCTCTACCACGCCTTGGCCAAAGCTAGCGATTAGCCGCAAGCAACTAAAGTCGACATCAGCCCTTCCGGCCTCCCGACGCACGGTTCTGCTGAAGATCACAGGCAATTCACTATGACTTCGAGACCATCTGAACGCCGTGCTTATCACTGGGAGGCAGTCTGCGTCGACGAGGAATCCGATGAAGATCGATCAGACGGCGATCAGCTCGCACGGAGCAGCGAGGTGGCTCCTTCGTACGCTCCTGGCGTCTTTAGCGTGATGTGCAGCCATTGTGGCGTTAACCCATATGGACGCCGTAGTACAGAATTGCCAAGGAGTATTTTGCTTCCTCGCGACTGCAGAACAGGAGAAGGCAGTGATGGCAGTGCAGAGGTTATTGCGTCAAAGCATGAAGGCCAAGCATCGCAACATGCTCCCCCTGGTAGGCATGTGGTCACTGGCAACCACATAGTCAATGGTGTCCACCAGAGCTATCGTCGCAAGACTATCAAAGCAGGACGCACTGTGGACGTGACAGACCTATGTAAGGCAGCCAATGCCGTCCGCCAGAGGCATTGGTTCTACTTGTGGTGGTTCATGTTCAAGGCCTTTGAATGGTTCCACCTTTGAAGACACGACTACCACCAGGGAAAGGCAGACTTTGGCAGGACTACATGTTCACAGCGTGGCGGAGTGTAATGATGACAAAAGCGGCGTTGGGTACAGGCGCTTGCCAAGATAGCGATGTGAAAAAAGACGAGGGCAGATAAAGAACAGCCGACCTGCATCAAGGGCATTGTTTCTTTGTCTCATTCCTTTACACTATTTATTATGAATGCAGAAGTACCACAAAGAATGGTTGTTATATCAGTGGTTCAATGTGTGTAGACTCGCACTTAGAAACATGCAATGTCTGTCAAGCCGTTCTGTTTTTCTCTCTCTCTGCTCCTTGCACAAGCAAAAACTTATCATGGTTGTCTTTGCTCGCAATTATCATCCTTAAATGGTGGCAGTTGTCGGTTAAAAAGAAAACACTAATTTTGTGTTTTTCATGCATGTCTTACATGTCAGTCAATTCATAATGCTGCTTTGCAAGAAGAATGCCAGTGGCATCGATGCTCCAAGATAAAGAGGTGCCTAGCCGTAAAGACAGTGGTGTGAGTGACGACATGGAATTAGTGCCTGACAGCAGCTCTGGTGTCTTTGCTACGAATGTTGCTTCAGATGACAACGATGCTTTGAAATGTACTACAAAATGAGCATCTATTAATCCCAAAAGCTTTTGTTTCAATCTGCAGTTTTCAGTGTGTTACCTGTATTGCATCAAATAAATAAATAAATACCTCTATGTTTAGTACATTCTAACCTATTACTGAGGCATGTGTTGAGAAAAAACCACCCTCATAAGTGTCTTTTTTTAATTTCTGAGCTATTTTTTATCAGAAATCAATTATGTAATACATCCTTACAATTAAAATTGTGCAGATAAAATTATCACTACTTGAAAGGAGTAGTCGAGTTTGGTATGTTATTTGGCTGTTGAATTGGTGGTTAGAGGGTAATGATAGCTTGATGCTCCTTAAGGGGGGACGCGGCACTTCGGGACCGAAAATCAGCCAAAAAATCGAGTTTTCGCGGACCTTCTTTTCGCGTTCCCGACATCATTGCGCACCTATTTACAAAATTTCATACCCGAATACCATCAACTTTTATCGTTATTCAACTTTAAAAAACCGAAAACGGGCGTCCTGCCCTTTAAATTGAGGGCGAATAGCGCAGGTTTCGGCTCTACAATACGCGGGAACTACGCGCTCGATCGGCGCCATTTTGGTCTTGTTTGAAAGAACACGTTTTCAGCTGTTTTTTTTATTCAGTAAGCAACATTGAGCGTTTCCCCGGCTCGAAAAACGGGGCCTCAAAGACGAAGAGCCGCGCTCACTGCCATTGGCTAAATGGCGCACGTGACTGAAATGGCGCTTTCCGGTTGGCTGGAAGCTCGCGGCTTGCGCCTGCATACGCGACCCGACGCCATTTTGGAAGGGTTACCGCTGTGACGCCTCGAAATCGGCAGAGCACTCTGAAGCTTCTGATCGTATCGTCATGCCTGGAAACGCAAAAAAGTATCGGACCGTGCACGCATTTGGTCGCAGGAAACGCAAAGGTCGTGGGAGAAAGTCTACGAAGTCATCAGAGCCCTTGGTTGACTCCGACGAACGATGTGTCGACGCTCCGCGGCCGTTCAGCGATGGTGCGACCGAGCGCGTTGCCTCCGACGACGATGACGGTGAAGCGAACTCCGGACGACTACGAATCGACGCCAAGGTGGTGACAAACGCCGAAGTTGAAGAAAATCATGCCCGGGAGAAAGCGACGCTCGACCGGCTTTCATCGGCGCCAGCAACTGCACGGAAAATTGACTTTTTCACCGCGAGTTGTAGCGAGGCAACCGCACAGGACTCGGACCACGCTGCTCCTTATCTGCTTATGCATCTAGATATCCTAAACGCGATAATGGGTGCCTTGTGTTGCAAAGCCTGCCACGGACCGGCTACGATCGTCAGAGGGGATCGGGACTACGGACTTGCCGTGAAAGTGCTAGTGCAGTGTGAAAGGTGCGGCGAGATCGCGAATGAATGGACTTCGCCCCGCGCGAACGGCACGAAAACGTGCAATCCGTTTGAAGTAAATCTTCTCGCTTCGAGGGCGATGGTGGCTACCGGCAACGGCCAAACAAAAATGAACGATATTTTCGCAACAATGGGCATCTCACACCGCGGTATGCACCACAAGACGTTTCAGCGGCATTTGAAGAACACGCTGGCACCCGCTGCAACGCGAGCGGCTGAGTCCGCTATGAGCGAATGTGCGGAAAAGGTTAGAACAATTTATGATGACTTGTGCTTCGGCCACCGGGGCAATATTGCCGTTAGCTACGACGGCACGTGGAAGACGCGAGTCCATTCTTCCCACATCGGCGTGGGCACAGTTATCGAATTATTTAGTGGCTACGTGTTGGACTACGTCGTTCTTTCCAACTTTTGCCTAGGCTGCGAGGTGGGCCCAAAGCCTAGTAGTGAGGGCTATCAAGAATGGAAGGCTAACCACAAATGCCAAAAAAATATGAACAGCAAAGCAGGGCAAATGGAAGTGGAGGCGGCTCTAATTCTATTTCAGAGGTCGCTTGAACGCCATGGCCTGCGCTACACAACTATGCTGTCTGATGGAGACTCCAGGACATTTTGCGCCATACAAGACGCCAAGGTGTATGGTTACATTGACGTGCAGAAGGAAGACTGTATTAATCATGTACAGAAACGGATGGGCACCGCATTGAGAAACCTGGTGCAGAAACAAAAGTGCGATGGGAAAAGAGGCCTTGGTGGGAAAGGCAGGCTCACAGGTGAGCTGATCACCAGGCTGAGCACATATTATGGCCGGGCTCTGAAATCGCATGAAGGTGACGTGGGCGAGATGCAAAAGGCTGTGATGGCCACATACCGCCACGTCACCTCCACTGATGAATGCTCGGACCACAGTCTGTGCCCAGCTGGTGAAACTTCATGGTGTCGGCACAATGCCGCAAAAGCAAAGGGTGAGCCCGACCCCAGGCATGCCTACAATCTACCGAAAGACGTGGCAGAGGCATTACTACCGGTTTATACCCGGCTTTCGGAAAGAGCCCTGCTTCAGAGGTGCGAACGCGGCAAAACGCAGAACTCCAACGAGAGCCTACATTCGGTAATCTGGAGTTTGGCCCCCAAGGAGCACCATGCGTCCCTGTTCGCTGTTGAAGCAGCTGTTGCAGAAGCAGTGCTGCGCTTCAACACGGGCAATTTGAATTCTGCAACGGCAATCTTAGGTGAAATGGACATGATTGCGACAAGTACTGGTGCCAGGAGAGCGAGAGAAAAAGACCACCGTCGCAGCATTGTCTCCAACAAGAAAAGAACAGCCTCATTGGAACTCCGGAAGCTAGTGAAGAGGAGGCATGAGCACAGAATGCATTCAGACTATGCTTCTGGTGCGTTTTGAGGTTGTCTTGTTGCATCTTCTGCAATAAAAATGTGTGCCCACGTTTTTTCTCGATTTCTCAAAACGACAATTTTCATGTGCTTCCCATTATGCCGGAGCAATATCTCTTGTTCTATCTGGGTTATCATTACGATTTCTTTTTTGTTTCGAAGATAAATGCAGGGGATGTGTTGTAAAGTAAGTTTTATTGTAATAATTTTTGGAGAAAATTCTCTAAATGGATCTTTTGTTTCAAGTGTAGATGGGGAAATTTTTCATGTCATATTCAACATCCCACAACTTTGCTTCGAAATAGCCCAGAACAATGATTTATACTTTATTGCACACTGTGAACATACCGAATTGGTTCTATAGGTTGCACATCAATATCCAAGTTACAGTTAATTAGCTAATTAGGCCTTAATTGAAAAAGTCGCAGTTCATTATATCTTTAAAACTAATTGTCACAGCAAAAAAAGAATTAGATTTTTGAAATCAGCAGTAAAATCTACATAGGCTCTCCAAATTTGACTGAGGTACTCGCAAAAATAAAAGAGTTTTTGGAAGGTGTAGCATCCCCCCTTAAGTATGAACCAGAGTGCCAAGTCTTAATCATGCAGAATTACTAGTTAACAAGGGCCTCATTATTGTAGTCTTACATTGTACCCCTCCTGAGATGCCATTCCTTCTCTTTTCATCAGGGCCACTGTGTCATAGTGTTCAGTGACGAAGGTCACTTTATCCGCAAGATTGGATGCGATGGGATGACCAACTTCCCCAACGGTATCGACATCAGCGACGCAGGCGACGTGCTCGTGGGGGACAGCCATGGCAATCGTTTTCATGTTGTGGTCTTCTCACGTGAAGGCTTGCTCCTGTCAGAGTTTGAGTGCCCCTACGTGAAAGTGAGCCGCTGCTGTGGCCTCAAGATCACCTCAGAGGGCTATGTGGTCACACTGGCTAAGAACAACCACCATGTGCTTGTGCTCAACACCCTCTACATTGTCTGAAGGGGGTTGGCAAGTGGGGTGTCGTTAGCACCTTGCTGTCGCTGTTGGTCGTGCACACCACTGTCTCTGCCCTACCTCCGAAGCGGCGGGTTTTCAGCTGGCTGTGTTTCTCCCCCACTCAACCTTTACATTTTGTTTTATTTTGTTGCCCCTCATTAGTACCTCTGGCCAGCCTGCCTGACTTTCGCTGTGCGCCCACCCCCTCCTCCCGGCATCCTCCGGCATCCTTTTGATGCACGTGTGTGGGCTCTGTTTGGCCGCACCAGGGAGGAGGCCTGCTCCTGCAAGCATGGCTCTCTGCCTTCATTTGATCATTCGTTATTTGCAACGTGTGCACTGTTCTCCTTCATTTCATCAGGTGCCTTATCCAGTTTTTTTGCTTGTTATGATCACTGCCCCTTTAGTTTGTTGCCATTTTGCACAGCCATGTCATACCTAACTTTACATTTTGATCGGCTGCTTCTCACCTTCCTTCATTTTTCTTCTACGCTTCATTTTTCCTCATAAATTGCGAAGCAGCAGCTCCTTTGGAACTATTCCTGGGCATTGTTACTTTTTTTTTAGAAAAGCTAGACATGAGTGCTGCCTCTAAAGCATGCAAGCAGAGCTGGTTCACCCCTATTTGCCCTACTTCATCAATCATTAATTGTGTTTCTATTTTTAAAGGTTTGTCCGTTTTCTGCAACGTTTTCTCATGAGTTCGCAACTGCCCTGCACTGTTTATCGGCCATTCCACATCATCGTGTCTTTTTCTTTTTTTTAACTACTAAATGTTTCTTCAGTTGCACTCCCGTCTTTCACCTGCCTTCTCTGTGCGTTAACAGCTATAGCTAGGCCCCCAAAGACACGCAATGTAATAAGTTACACATTTAAGCATTCTTTCTTCTGACCGTCTCACAAATCCTCAATGTCCACTGGTGTTTCTATCCACATATGAATAGCAAGAGCGAGTGTTTGAACGATGTCGTATTTTAGTGCATTCACTCCTGCTCTTGTTTTTCCTGGCCACCTACTGTTTTCGCGCACGAGCTTGAGAAGACACACAAATTGCTAACTGTGATATTCTTAAAATGTTTTTTTGCTGTGCAGGTAATGTTGTTAACATTTCACTTTTTTTTCTTTTCAGCTCGTTGAAACAGTTTCTTGTCTGGCCTGTAATCTCATCTTTTAAGGTCCAGTCTTCTTTTTCCATTTTTTACTCGAAGTATTCTGGCCAGTTCTTTGCAAGTGTAAATGAGCATTACAGTCTTGTAAGCTATTCCAGTACAAACGTCTGTTTCTTCTTCTTTTTTTTTTCTTCGGAGATTTTTTTTCCGGTGCGCGTTGCCTTGTTGAGGCGCGACATTCCCTGCCTTAGCTAGGAGCTTGTTTTGTGCTCCTGTTAGTATTCTGGGTAGCCGTCTACTGTCTACTTATACTTAGCATGTGAAAACGGGGGATAAGTAAAGCATGTTTATTTACATGGCTGGTCTCTCAACATTATAGCAGCTATGTACGAGTATGCCAGCACAGGTGGAGCAGTTTAGAAGCTTCATGTGCTCGGCATTCGCGGGTGTTGCATTTCGCAATATTTGCAGTGGTGGTCGTACGCGACCCTGAATCGTGAGCATCCAGCTTTACTGCTGCTTACATGGCCCCCACTCTTTCTCCTCTTGTTATTATTATTTTCTAAAGTGAAAGAGTAATCCGAATAGGGACATATTCTTACTTTTTCTCTGTTTCCATTTTCCTACAATGTCACCAGTCCCCTTGTAATTTCCTGTAACATTTTAAAGCAGTAAACATCGGATACAGATTGGGCCTTTTTCCCACTCCTGCTAGGTATTCTCAGGTTTAACGTCAACTATTTGAAGACATCAACAGTCTTAGAAGGATCATATAAATATATATATATATATAGTATATGTATACACACAACATATATATATATATACCCTTGTGCCTAGTCCTTTTACTATGATTTAGTGGTTTTTATACATATATATATATATAGTATATACATGCATAGCGAACGTGCCATGTGGGTTCACTCCCAGCTATATTCTGAAGCAAAAAAAAGAAAAAAAGACGGTATATGTACCATTACTCGCAGGTGTATCACAAAGCAGTGTTAACAGCTGAAACGGTGTTTAAACACGAACAGCAGCAGCAGCCGCTACCACTGCAGCAGCATTGTCATCGTCATTAGAGGAGATTTGTGACACAATCTTTCTGCTCTTTCTCTGTTTTCTTCACTTTCTCTCGATGTGGGCACTCGTATACTTGCACTGACAACTACTATTTCCACGTCGTCCCACGTTTTCCCCTCTGCACCCTCGAGAGCCAAACGGAAAGTTTTTAAAAATAGGTGAAAAGAAAACTGATGCTCAAGCGGCTCTTGTGTCTTCTCACGCACAGTCCCTCCTTCCGTCATTTCTCACCCTGTTGGCTTTTGCGCTTTCAATGCGGACACTGTTACTGCATTCAGCCTTTGTTGTCTGCATTGGTTGTTTGATTTTAGAACTGTATGTGGGGCAGGTGATTGTGTGACGATTGTCGCAGCTCGCGGAGTCTAGGTCCGATTTGCGGTTCCTCGCGTACGGTAGCACGTTTTAGTAAAGTCTGGCTGCTTCTGCTTTTTTTGAGCCGATGGAGTAATGTGGAGGAGGAGGGTGCATTGCGTAATTTTGCCGGCTTCGGAGGTGGGACTGTCCAGTGGGCTGCACCTTGCAGTACAGAGAGCAAAGGGAGGGGAAATACTTGCAGCCAAAAGTTCCTGTATAATCTTTTTTTTTTTTTGACCATGTGACAAGCTTGTTGTGCTTTATTTTATTTTTTCACCAGAGCATTTGTGGTCACTTCATGTGCTGCATTATTTAGGGTTCATCGACTCTGTGTATGTTTCTTGTGGTTCTTTTTTTGCGTGTGTGTGGGTGAGTGCGTGCACTGTTTGTGCAACGTTTACGAAGTGCGGTGGCTGCATTTGATACCACCTTTTTCTGTTGTTGGCACCAGTGCGTTTGGTTTTTCCTTCGCCTTAAAAAAAAATTATATTAATGTGCTGTAGTCGCAAAGGTTTTGTTGACGAGCAAGCCGAATTTCGCTGCTCACTTTTCATTCCTAGATGCGCACCTTTATTATCTACTGCTTTCGAGACCCGCTTTCCAGGCCAATCACCAGTGTCTCTTCTGTTTAGTCTTTATTTTTGCATTGTGCGATTACTCCGGCCCCGTTCACTTGGCACAGTTAAATACTGCACACACTTTGCCTAGTGTGTACATATTTTCTACGCATACCTCAATTTTACATCATCTTAATTTTGGTATCGTGCAGCTATGCAGCACGCACCTCGAACTGATGAAGCGCAGTTCCCTTTATTATACATTTTTCCTTCCTGCTTTTTGTTTTTCCCGCATGCGGTCATTTGTTGCAAACGAGACGACGTAGATTTCTCCCGATTTCTCGTTTTCTATAGTTTTACAATTAGCTCATCCTCGTGTGTTGTTTCTTTTGCTTGTGTAGTGTGCTGCCTGCAATAATATTTTTGCCTTTGTTTGTTCAGTGTACATCATGAGAAGGAAAAAAAGACAATTTGCCTTTAGAGCCATTTTTTCCCTCAATTTCTTTATTGCCATTTTCTTTTTTTATTAACAGTGCATTTGCATCTCTAGCGTGCCTGATGTTACGTACACACGTATATATATGTGTGTGTACACACACATATACTTATCATGTTATTATTAACGGTGGAGAGTTTGCTGCCACGTGTTTTACTCCCGCGTCACGCATGACGCCGTGCGCTGCGCTGTCACTTTGCGCTCTTGCAAAGTTTTGCGTGCGTGTCTTGCCAGCAATATTGTGAAGGGATGGGTGCAGGCAGCAAGCAGCAGCCAAGTGCGAGCGCTTTTCGCCAACATTCCATGGCAGCCACTTTTTAGGCGCTCTATAATATATATTTTTCTTTGAAGAAACTGCTGAAAGAGGAAATTGCCTTCTTTTACCAGATCTTATACAACCCCGTCTCTTTTGAATAACTTCCCATTCTTGCCTTCACGTTTGTTTTGAGTAGTTCTTTCACTGGCGGAGCTGCTCGATACGAATTGGTGGAGGGGAGAAAAATAAAGTCAACTTCTCCGTTGCCTTTCATTTAAAGACAGTACAATGCTTCTTTCCCAGTAACATGTGGTGGCAAAACCCATAATACATGGTGTTCATTTTTATAAAATAACTTTCTTTTTTTTTTCTCCTCCCTTCTTTTCTTTAAAGAGCCCTTGCCTTTGTCTCTCGTTCTGTGCCTTTCGTGTTTTTCTTTGCAAATTTTTGCAAGGCATCCATGTGTGCATACATTTACATGCATCTAGTCAGAATCTTGAGCACTTGCGTGCTTTTTTTTTTCTTGTGTGAGCTTATTAGAAAAGCGTTGAGAGCTTGAAAAGTGTGCCCTGCTTTCCTTTTGGAAGCTGATCCCTTGGCTTTGCTTGTTTACAATCATTATTTCTATACTATTTCCCTTGTTTGCTCTTTTGTTTGATGTTACTTTTAATTGAGGTATTTTATGCCTATTAAAAAACAAAATTGGCAGTGCCTGCAGTTAGCATGGGAACCTCGCACTGAAAAGTGCTGTTCCAGTGCTTTCGCGATGAGCGTCTTACCTTGCAGGGGGCACCGACTGTTATATCAAGTGTTTAGCATTTCCCTGGGCATTTCTTGCCTTCTTGCAACTGGTGCCCCCAAAAGTTGAAGCATCTCACGCGTGCTTGAAGCAAAGAACATCAGTGCCGTGCTTTATAAGCATCCATTCGTTTAAAAAGGATAGAAATGAGAGAAATTGTCTTGGCAGGTATCAACTTGGAGGAACAAAGTGAAGCATAATAGAACTTCTCACATTTACAGTGATTTCATTCTTCTGCTTTTTGTTTGTTTGAGAGTTGTAAGGTTTTGTCTTTTTGCAATGTGTGTGCATGTGCGGTGATACGTTTTTTTTATTCCGCTTGTTTTACAAATCGCTGTGACAAGACTGTGACACTCATTTTTTATTTCTCATTTGTCGGGGACGAGACGTTTTCCCCAACTGACAAGCCTTTATTTGCACGTAGTCTGCCATTATTATTATTGTACAACATGAATATTATACTATTGTATACTATACATTACCCAATAGTGATTGTTTGCTGGGGAAAGGGCAGTATTTTTCCTATGATATTTTTTTTTTGCAGGGTCCTTAATCATTTGTTTTTATTTTTGTGTCTTTCAGCAAAGATAGTTGTTTGTGAAGTAGATAGAACGTGCCCCTCATCTACTTGATAGGGTTGATGAAACCAGGCCTTCCTTTTTTTTCTTGTCGATACTTTTACAAGCCATACAAAATTTGTTTTAATCTTATTCTTTTGGTCGCATAATCTTTGTTGGCAAGTAGCTTACGGTACATTGCACTGCTTCACAACATTTACTGTTCTTAACCTTTACAAGGCCATCTTGTACTCTCTTGCACCATATCTGCTAGTGCCTTTCTGTTGATATTGAGCAGACTAGCTCATGCAGCTTATCATTTTCCTCACTTGCTGTTCACTGCGATTGCCACGACTCATCAACTATGCACACCATCACTCTTCTATTGGCAGCGTACATCCATTCTATCCCCACTCATCTTGCCATAACATTGGAAAGAAAAAAAAATGTTTTGTAGAAAAGTTTGTATGAATTCCCCTCTCTCCTTGCACATTTTTTTCTTCAGTCCACACGTTATCTATTCACTCTTCATGAGATATATGTATACATTTTTTTTTTCTGTATTCTGTGACACTTGTTTACTGCTTAGGCTGTTTCCGCAGCTTGTACTACCAGACTAGTCCATTTATATTGAGACAGCGTGAAGTGAAGCTTACACAAACTTAGACTGCATGAGTGAGATTTAGGGATAAGAGAGAGAACCGGTAACCACTGTGCTGACCCCCTCCCCGTAATTCCTCTTGTTTTTCATTTTTGTACTGCCTTTTACCTCAGTAGCTCCACACATGCACTCACACCCCTTGTCTGTTGTTAGGTCCTCCTTGTGAAGCAGAAATCAGAAGTGTCGGGTGTCAAGAGTTAACCACGCAGTGAACAAGAGGCCATGTGTGTGTGCGTGTGTATGTGTAGGAAGAGAGCCTATTTTTTTGTGTTATTCTTTTTCCACACTTAATCTATGCAAAGATGTTATTTTGCCTGTGGCATGCGCTTGCAACACTGTTTGGCCGCTGCGGGTTTTGCTGGAAGAGTTCAGTCAGTATTCCAGGGGCCCAGTCTTGCTCGCTGCCTTTGTGGTATCCTTTCCCTCCCCACCATATATATATATTTTTCGACGCCCGTCTTTTGCACTGCGGCATCGCCCGCTTTCATAAGGATGGGCGCCCACCCCCTTTAACACTTGAATAATCCTAGAGCAATAAAGAAGCGTGCTAGATGCTACATACTGAGGCCCCCTTCCTCGGGAGCAGTCACTTTTTCAGGCCATAAAAAACGCGTCGATTTGCAACCGCACAATTGCTGCCACTGCCGTGTCCGGTTTTTCCCACCTCTGCATCCTATTTCACTGGTTCTTGCAATCAGGGACACGTGTTGTCCTGGCATTTGCAATGGGAGAGTCGAGTCTCTTGTAGCTGGCATGCGGCATTGAAGACATAGGCCACCTGGCCATATAGCAGCTGTCTCGTTTGGCCACACTGTAAAAAAAAGAAATTGTGCTGAAATCGGTGTATCTGCGGTTGTTGCCATGATTCTGAGGTACCCTTCATTATGCAGGTGCCATCAACTTGTGTATACGGGACAGTAGCCACTGTTAAAGCTTGCCATCGCAGTCATGCAGTTTGTCGGGCATGTTTAAGGCTTTTCGCAGAGAACTCGGGCACACGGCTCTTGCTGCGTTAAACATAGGGCATGCCTAGCAAGCTCAAAGGCAGCTTGCAGTGCCACCTGGAAATGAATGTACCCAATAATCATGGCCACAAGCCGAGTGCGATGCGACGTAAATGCTCATTTTGGTATAAATTTGTTGCAGTGTGGTGTGATTGCACAGGGTGCGAAAATTTTGGTACCGTCAAAGGTGACCCAGTTGGCAGGCAAGACAAGAGCGTCTGATAAGCTGCTAATGCAGCATGGCAGATTTATTTATTTAGTAGCATGCCGCAGTGAATGCAGATATTGGGGGAGGGGAGACGTGTGACCTCACATTGCTGGCGTTTTCCAGTGCTTCCGGGTGTTAAACGAATATATATATATATATATACATACTATATATACACTTTTTTTTTCTCTCATTCCTTGAATTCACTCAACCCCTACTGCACCACTTCAAGGCGGAGCAGATTCCTTATCGCTTTCTCACACACTCTCATTGTAAAAGCCGAAAGTAGACCAAATTCCTTGGGCCATCCTTGTTGCAAGTGATGTCATGTGGTAGTTTCTCTGAAGTGTTGCGAAAAAATGTCAACAAAAGCTCGAAAAAAAGTTATTTTCTCCCTCTTTTCAATCCCCCCCATGTTTCCGTGGTTTACACTTTTGAGACGTTTAATGTTTATGTATTTTACACGAGCACTGATATATTTATGGTGCTGTTTTACAATGGCAAGAATTTAAAGTGGTAAAAATAACAAAAAAAATAGATGTGCAGTTCACCCAAGCTTGCATACTGCAAGTATGTTACCATGCGGAGCAGGAGAGGACAGGAGGTGATGATAAAAAAAGTCGGAGCAGCCATTTTTTTGCCATCCAAGCTGGATCTTGTTGAGATTTTTGCGCTGGCTTTGTGCCTACATGGCTGTTCATTACATAAGTGGAGGTGATGGAGACGAAAAAACAAGTTGAAGTATATATACATATATATGTTGGTACAAAGCAGTTTTTTCTCGTCTCGTGTGCATGGCTCTTGTGAGCGTTCCATGACACTATTGTCTGGGCATTTGCTGAACCATGCGTCCGAGATGCTCGGTTATATTGCATTTACTTGTACTATTTTTGGAAAGCAGTTAAATGGAAATGATTTGTAACAATGTTTCATGTTGATTCCAATAAAGGCAGTTGCAACCGTTTAGCACTTGTCTTTTTGGGCTGCTCTCACTTATAGTAAGAAGGCTGGAGAGCTTGCTGGCTCTTGTGCATGTTCAAGTTCATTTCCATTGTTAAGTGTGTATTACAATGTGATGCTAGTTCCTGGTCATGGAAATTTTACTATACACTTATTACTAATCCGGTAGCTTCATGTCTCCAACCTGCCAGGTCGTTTATCAGCAACGGTGATTGCCACTTTCTTCTCAACTTTTTGGAGGTACCAAATAACAAAACATATGCCTTCCAACCAGGCATTTTCATTGGTTTTTTTTGTTCATAAGGCATAATCGTGACAGGATAGACTCATTTAATCACTGGCTGGCTCAAGAGAGACGTAGGTAAAGGCAACCCACTTTCTTTGCCCTTAATTTGTGGCCATCAGAAGCGGCGGCCCTAGTGTATGGGGAGAAAGGTATTTTACCATGTTCCTAACAAAGTTTAAAGGGATACTAAAGTCAAATAATTTCTTAGTAACAATATTATCATTAACAGTGCCTTACTTACCAAGAAGTTTTTGTAAATGCACGGAAACACATGCGCCATGAGTAGGACATTCGCAAAATGATCCCTATTATGTCAGAGTTACCACTGACTATTAATTGCTAGTATTCGAACTAGCTGCACTAAAGAACCCTCCGTGCATCAAGAGACGTAATAATATGCTGCGTGTTCGTTTCTGTTTGATTCGTGGAAAAAAGAACCGCCGAACGTCACTGGGGAATGGCGCGAGTGGTTCACAAGTGCAATTTTCGTCTAGTTAAGCTAAGGCTAAACTACAGTTACTGTATATGCTACCTTTAGGTGGCATATACAGTAACTCTAGTAAAACTAGTCAGGTCGTGCCTTCTAGCGGCGCTCAGTTGAACTAGGCACGCCCGCCCACGGCCGGGTTAAACTGCACCTGCGTGCTCCCAACAAGCGCGCCCAGCAAGAGCGCGCGGGTGCAGTCTAGTCTGGCCGTGGCCTGCCATCCGGGGGCTATGGCAGTAGTGGGTGAGACAACTTTATTGTCGATCCGCCTTAAAGGGGGAAGAGGTAGGGGAATTAGCGTGCTCGGACGTCCCTGAGCAGCAACCTACTTGCGTCAAATATTTGGGGGTGCCGCTTTCGGCCGCTGGCGTTCCGGAATGCCAAGCACGTGCTGGACCACGTTTCTTTGGTTACCTGGCTTTTGGCTGCTGATGGTAGCTAGCATTTCTCACGGTTTGCAATAGTCAACTTTGCTACACGCAACGTCCATGGAACTACCGCAAGAGTATGTTTAACGATAGCAAGACCGCGAACCAACGTTGCCGTCAAGTGGTTCCCTGCGCACGCTAGGGAGCTGGACGCGGGCGCGAACCGCAACGAGGAGGCAGATACGAAGACCACGACAGGGAATTGTTCAATAGCCGTGTTGCTGCTGTGGCTCCCGCTACTTTCGATCTGCTGCCACTAGTCTCGGCGGCCGCGCAGTAAAATCGCGCAACGTTGTGCGCGGCAACTCTGACGTGAAATTTTATACTTGAGGCGGTTAATTTGAAATGTGCTAGCGTTGCGGACCACTAACACGTGATTTTTATTTCAATATAAGCACTTCCTTGGCACAAAAGTAGCACTACGAGGCTTCTAAACCGCTATTTCAGCAATCAACTTCGATTTAATAATTGCCTGTAGTGTCCCTTTAGGGAGGTGGTTATGAATTGTCGGAAAGTTTCTAACAACTTTTCCATTTCAATATCCTCATTTATGCCCCAACCCCTTTCATGTTGTCTTTGCTCTTACCCTCGCTTTCCTTTCCCGCTACCTTCCTTGTAAATATGAGTAGGTGCCGTCGGTATATCTAGGGCCCTTGTAGAGACGTCGCGGCGCGTCGGCTCCGCCCACCCATTGCAGGTCGGAGCTCGCTACCGCCCATACTCGAGCGCTAGTGTCTGTGGGAGCTGCAACGCATAGCTAGCCAGCCTAGCATTAGAGTGCACTAGTACACTGTACACAGTTTACTAGTACACTGTAAGTTCCATGCTAAGTACAGTGCACAAGCATGGCGCTTGAGCGAGCATGGGAATTATGAGTAGTACATTGGTTTGCCTAGTCTTCGTTCTATGTGTTCCTTTTGGCTTCGCCTGTCTTGCAGCTGATTTATAACGAAACAACAATCAGCAAACGTTCGGCAGTTACCCTTCACCATCTTCACCTTTTTGGGATCACCATTTCAAATCGGACCACGAAGTTGAAAACAGTTTGTTCTTTCATTCGAAACAAAACCAAAGCACAGCAAAGCGAAGCCAAAAGTGCGTGCGAAGACTAGGCAAATCAATGTCATATCCATAATTCCCATCGCAGCGCCAGGGTCCTCTCTAGTTAATTTTAGGAACCTCTTTGCTACCGATGGTTTTGGGACGTTAAACCCCACATATCAATCAAATGGATCTTTGCTACTGCCCACTATGATCACGTGACAAATGGCGGAGGAGGTGTGAACGGATAGAGTGCCTCGATGCGCGCGCCCCCGCTTAGAGTGGTGTCAGCTTTTGCAAGGGCAGATGCCGCCGCCTCGGCTTCGGCGCCAGCGCGACCGCCATTTTGGCGCCTCCGGCCGGTAGTTCGTGCTTGGCGTGTGAGGTGTTGTTGCGCAGTGTTCATTCCCTTACAGTTTTATGCACCCATCTCCGCATCACCATGCCCGGCTGCTGCGTGCCGCAGTGCTCGAATCACTCGAGAAACGGATGGAAGTTGTACCGGTTTCCAAGAGACCCAAAAAGAAGGCTTCTTTGGACCGTTAAAATCAAACGAGACAAGTGGCAACCGACTAATACGTCGCACGTATGCAGCGTAAGTAAACATTTTTTTTTAGTGCGTCGTATTCTGACTGGTCAGCATTATTTAGGGCGCCGTTGTTTTTTATTTAGGTGCGCAATGTAAACGCAGGACAGCCAAACGTCGTGCAGGGTACTGTGCGGCGTGCTCGTGTTAAAAGATCACGCTTTAAGAAAATGCGTCAAGTACGGGGGCTTCGGAAGCCCCCGTGTCGATAACATTTCATGCTGGTTCAAGGGCCTCGAGTGTGCTACTACATTCATAGGAATTGCGACTAGTTTCAGTGCCCTTGCACGGGAAAGTGTTGCCTTGGCAGCAGCGTTGTGAAATCCTTCCCACCCCCTACCCGAGGCTGTTAATTTCGTGCACTGCGCTTCGCAGCTATTTTGCTCGCGAGACCGGCTGCCGCTGTCGTGACCGTCCGCCTCGCAGCCCGAAGACAGACTTCGTGAAATTGCCGTACTCGCTCGCCAACTCGCCCCGACAGCGTACGCGTCGACCGGGTGCTGGCGGAGTTGAGCTGAACGAAAAGTAGGCAAGAGATGGGGACGCAGGAGGTGTAGTTAAACAGATGAGAATTTAGAAAGTGGAGGAGGGAGAAAATTATATGCAAGGGCAGAAAACGGGGAGTGAGTTCAGGCCGCGTGCCGGCGAGCGAGTACGGAAATCTGACGGCGCCTGACTGCTGCCGAACTTCAAGAGTACGGCACGTAGAGTTCACGTAATTCACATAAGAGGAAATTGGACGTGAAATGCGCGCATATGGCCTCGCAGGGAATTAACATAGGCTCGGGTGCGTGGTAGGGGGATTTCACAACGCTTACGAGGCCTGCCCATGTTTATTCGTGCACGCGTTGGCACTGATCGGTCGAAATTTGAACGCCTCTTGTGAAATCAAGCCGTTTGAACATAAACATGCTGTTCCTGCGAAAAACTCGTAATATTACGAGGCCGGACTTCTGCCCGTCTTGTGTGTATCGTCGTATGTATACTTGGGAATCAGGAACACTTCAGTGACGAACAAAACAAGCGCTGTTACGGAGTGTTGTCATTTTTACCTGACAAATAAATTCGATTGCATTGGGAACTTGGAGGCTTGGGTACAAAGCTTTCGATAGAACGAAATCTGTAACGCTCGCTATAAAATCAGACCTGGTCCTTTGTCGGCACAATAGACTAATATTTTATTCACATGAATTCAGGAATCCTTACAGATTTTCAGTGCGAAAATTGAAAGGGTTATTATAACAGCAGGCTGGGTCTATGATCGCGCTCACTGAAGTGGCTTACGTGAAAGCGCGCGTGAGCTCAATTAGTTTCCTTCTTTTTGTGCTTCAAAGTTGCTGCTAGTTCCTGCTGCGAATCATACTGAATGCATACATGAAATCTTGTTTATTGACAGTGACAGACATTCGTTTTTCTTCTGCCAGTGTGTTAATTTCCAATTCTGGTTTTATTTGCAGGCTCACTTTGAAGAGAACAACTATGAGCAACATCGTGCGGATGGCTGGAAGAAGTTGAAACCAAATGCCGTCCCAACTTTGTTCACATTCAAACGTGAGATTGAACTTTTTTCTTGCATTACATAAAGCAGCACCAGTTGCAAGTACTCTATGTACCTGGGATTTCTACGAAGCTAACACCAAATAGGTCCTCATATGCTGCGTCCAGATTAGTGCATAAATTCTGGAAATGCAGTCACGGACAAAGCTAGGAAATGCGAACACAAAAATGTGAACCAGACCACGCAAAATTGAAAAATACTGCTAATATTAGACGGTCAAATAATGGCACGCTATTAGTGCGTTTGGAAAGCTACATTTCCCAACTTTGTTTTTGTGATTACGTTGCATCACTTTGACTTGCATGTAAAAAAAATTGCGATACTTGAGTGTTGTAATTTATATTTCTTGTTTGCATTTTTTGGTCATGACTGTATATACGTCTGGATTTCAGTGTTTACAGGCATGACCCACTGCACAACAGTTTTCCGCTACTTAGCACACGGTCGTGTACTGCTAGGATGTCAGGTGCAGTGGCTATGTTATTTACAAAGGGGGAAAACGGAAACCATTATGTATACGAGATCCACGATGCACGAGCCCCCACTACAGTGCGCCTCATTACCTGCGTTGCGTTGGCGTGTTAAGCCCTACAATCAAATAATCAATAAACTGCATAGGG